CACCGCGGAGCAGCAGCAGCAGCCGCAGCCGCAGCAGCAGCCGCAGCAGCCGCAGCAGCCGCAGGGCGGGGGCGTGGGGTGCGGGTGCGGTCAGAGCTCCTCGCCCTTGTCGGGGCGGGGCGCGGAGGCGTGCTTCTGGAGGAACTCGGAGAGGCCGTCGACAGTGCGGGCGCCCTCGTAGCGGAGGGGGCTCTTGGCGCCGGCGCGGACGAAGAAAATGGTGGGGAAGCTGTTCCACTCGAAAGCCTCGAGCGGCGCCTCGTTGGCAGTGCCGTCCATCTTGGCGACGAGGAGCCGCGGGTTGGCGCGGTGGCGCTCCGCGAACTCGCGGTAGACAGGCTCGAAGCTCTTGCAGTAGCCGCACCAGGGCGCGTAGACCTCGAGAAACACGTCCCGCGCGTCCTGCAGCACCAGCTGCTCGAAGGTCTTGCCCACGACCACCTTCACGGGCTCCGCGTTGCTCTCGGGCACGGGCTCGGACTTGAGCGCGCGCTCCACCTTCCCCGCGGCCACGTCCGCGAGGAACTGCGTGACCGCCGCCGCGTCCCGCAGCGCCGCCGCCGCCGCCGCCGCCGGCAGCACGAAGCGGCCGCGGCGCGTCTGCGCCACCAGCCCGGGGAACTGCGCGAGGCCCAGCGCGGCCTCGGCGTGGCCGCGGAAGCTGTCCGTGTCCAGCCAGACGAAGTGGAAGTCGCTGCGGACGGCCTTCGCGGCGGCGCGGAGGCTGTCTTTGAACTGGTCGAAGTCGGGAGCGGCGCCGCAGAACCAGACCAGCGCCGCGTCGCGCTCCACGTACTTGCGGAAGTTCTCGCCGTTGATCGGGCCCAGCAGCGGGAAGGACTCCGTCTCCAGGAAGGCCCGCAGCGCCGCGGGCTCCGCCTCGCCTTCGAAGGGGACCCAGCCCTCTTCGAAGCGCACGGCCGAGACGCGCTCTGCGCCCGGCGCCGCGCCGTACGTGCAGTAGAACTTCCCCAGCTGCCGGCCCGCCTCTGCCGCTGCCCAAAACGTCTTCGCCACTTCCGAGTCTGCTGCGCTCAGTTCCGCCACGAACGCCACGGGCGCCTCGCGGCTCACCCGCGCCGCGGCCTCCTCTCTGCTGCTCACTTCCGTCACTGCCGGGCCCGTCATCGTCTCCACCCACTCCACTATTGCCTCCGCCTGCGCAGGGAATGCGGGGAAGGAAACGCGGGGCGAATGACGTGAGTTGAAGCGCATATGGAACGCATGCCTACGTGCATGCATCCGTGCATGCATCCGTGCATGCATCCGTGCATGCATCCGTGCATGCATCCGTGCATGCATCCGTGCATGCATCCGTGCATGCGTGCCGCCCGCCGAACCACCCCCCCAACCACCCAAATACAAACAACGAAACAGACACCAATTAAACAGCAACAACAGACAACAATAATTAAGTAACACTTCAATTAACAATACTAATTAAACAACACTAAGTAATAACTACAAATGATAATTAATTAAGTAATAATTAAATAATTAATCATTAAATAATAATCAAATAATTCATCATTAAATAATAAATAATAATCATAATTAATAATCAAATAATAATCAAATAATAATCAAATAATAGTCAAATAATGACACTAAGACCCACAGTGCGGCCCCCAGTGTACTGCTCGGGCTTCTGGTTGCGGAAGAGAGTGACGGTGGGGAACTCGCTGATGTCGTGTTTATTGGCCAAGTCCGTCTCCGCAGTGGCGTCGACTTTTGCCAAAACGACTTTGCTGCCTTTCTGCTGCAAAAGCTGCGCAGCTTTTGCGTATTCCGGGGCCATGCGTTTGCAGTGGCCGCACCTGCAGCGCGCAGCAGCAAACGGCAGAAAAAACGGCTTCAAACGAGCCGCCGCCGCCGCCGCCGCAGCAGCAGCAGCAGCAGCAGACACCCCCACCGCGGCCACGCAGCAGCAGACGCAGACGCCGCAGCACCGCCGGCCCCTTCCCTTTTAAAACTCTTTTCAAACCCCAGTAGAAACTACGCAGCAAACCCGCGTCCCAGTGTGTGCTGCTGCCCCAGAGCAGCAGCAGCAGCAGCAGCAGCAGCAGCAGCGGGAGTGTCTTGGGCGGACCAGGGGGCGTAGAACTTGACAAGCACAACTTCGTTTTGCTTGAGAGTTTCGTCGAAGTTGGAGTTGGTGAGGACGAGAACAGCAGAGTCGTCTTCTTTGCTCTCTTCTGCTGCTGCTGCTGCTGCTGCTGCTGCAGCGAGCCAGACAGGCAGCAGCGCGAAGAGGCCGAGGGCCACGAAGAAAGGCTTTTTCATCTTTTCAAGTGCTTTTAAAAACTAAACAAAATAAATCCAAAACTACAAAACTGCAACAAAATTGTTCTGAAAAGAACTCCCCGCTGCCCGTCTCGCGGGCGCCCCAGCCCGCTCAGCAGCAGCCCGGGGAGTTCGCAGCAGCAGCAGCAGCAGCAGCAGCAGCAGCAGCAGCCTCGCTGCAACCCACCGGGTGCACATAGCGAGACGGAACCTTTTGTCTTGCAAAAAACTGCAAATTAACTCTTTTTTTGCTTCGGATTTCCTCCTTTTCCTCCCGCGCTTCTTCCCCCGCCCTGAGGTGTACGTACACCCCAAACACACCGCCGCCGCCCACCCGCCGTCGCCGAAGCTCTTCTTCACTTCGTTTCTCTTCCCCTCCGTCTTCTTTCCTTTTCCTTTTCTTTTCTTTTCTATTTCCCGCACTTTTCAACTCCAAACGCTCCCCAAACCTCCCTCCGTCTCCCTCCCCCCGCCGCCGCCGCCGCTGCAGCTGCTGGTGCTGCGCCTCCCGGTGCAGCTGCTGCAGCAGCAGCAGCAACACACGGCCGCTTCCGCCCGGGGAGCCCTTCGGGGCCCCGCGGGCGCCCATGCCCTCGCCACGGGGGCGTGCACGGGCCGCCGCCGCCGCTGCTGCTGCCGCCGCTGCTGCTGCTGCTGCTGAGGATGAACAGCAGCAGCAGCAGCAGCAGGGGGCCCCCCCTCCCCCTGTGCGATCTGCTGTACGGGTCCTGGGGCGGCTGCCCCCCCTTTGGTGCTGCAGACATGCAAATGTATGAGCAGTGGCGCTGCAGCACGTTGGCCCTGCGGGCCCTCAGCTGCTGCCAGCAGCAGCAGCAGCAGCAGGTGGAGTGGATCGAGGAGCAGCAGCAGCGGAGGGCGGAGGGCTTCGCGCTGCTGCAGCAGCTGCTGCCGCGGAACCTGCCGATGGACTTGGTGGAGAGAACTGCGTGGGTGGAGTGCATGTCTTACTTCTGCAGACGCGAAGCAGCAACCCGCAGCAGCAGCAGCAGCAGCAGCAGCAGCAGTTTGCACCCGATTTCTCTGCCGTCGCTTGTGGGGCGGCTGGCGCACCGGCTATGGTTCGTGTTCGGCAGCAGCAGCTCGGGTGTATGTACAGCTGGGGGCCTGGAGCTGCTGCAGCAGCTGCCTCCTTGGTTCACTTTTCTTTGCGAAGAAGTTTCTTCTTTTTTTCTTTTCGTGCTGCTCCACTTGGCAGCAATAGCGCGCCAGCAACATGGGGTGTACGTACACCTCGCGGACAGGGAGTGGAGCGCCCGCTTCCGACACCTCAAGTACCTCCTCACTTCCCCCCCGCAGCAGCAGCAGCGGCAGCGGCAGCAGCAGCAGCAGCAGCAGCAGCAGCTGGAGCTGCCGTGTCTGGAGTGTATAGACACCGCGCTCACGCAGCACTTCCCCATGAACCCCCAAAGCGCCCCACATTCTTTTTGGCTTTTGTTCAAATCTGAAGCAGCAGAATGGATTGCATGCACAGAAACAAACGCCATTAAGGCTTTTCCCGTGCTGCTGCCGCAGCCTGCTGCTGCTGCTGCTGCGGCGGGGGACGCAGCAGCAGCGGGAGACACAGCTGGGGGAGAGCGGGGACGGGGGGCGGGTGCAGGGGAAGCAGCAGCAGCAGCTGCTGCTGCTGCTGCAGCGAAGGAAGAACAACAGCCAGCCGCAGCAGCCCCAGCTGCAGCAGCGCAGCAGCGACAGCCAGCAGCAGCAGCAGCAGCAGCAGCAGCAGGCAGCCGGCGGAAGCTGCTGCCGTCGCTGATTGAAGCAGCAAAAAATGATGCTTTAAATTTTCTCTGTCTCCTCGGCGCTGTGCTTCCGGGGGCCCTCAAAGGCAACACTTGCTACTTGCAAACTTTGTTTGAGGAGGAGGATTTGCTGCAGCAGCAGCAGCAGCCGCAGCAGCAGGGGGAAGAGGGCCAGAGGGAGCAACGATGGAGAGACCAGGAGCGAGAAGAGCAGCTGCAGCAGCAACGGCAGCAGGAGAAACAGCAGCAGGAGAAACAGCAACAGGAGAAACAGCAACAGGAGAAACTGCAGCAGCAGCAGCAGCTACTGCAGCAGCAGCTACAGCAGCAACAGCTGCAGCAGCAACAGCTGCAGCAGCAACAGCTGCAGCAGCAACAGCTGCAGCAGCAACAGCTGCAGCAGCAACAGCTGCAGCAGCAACAGCTGCAGCAGCAACAGCTGCAGCAGCAACAGCTGCAGCAGCAACGAGAACGGCAACAACAGGAGCTCCAGCAGCAGCAGCAGCTCCAGCAGCAGCTCCAGGAGCAGCAGCAGCACCAGGAAGAGGAGGACAAGGAAAATATTCCTCCAAGTTTTGCTTCTCTTTCTTTTGCTGAAGCAGCAACTGCAGCAAAGAGACGAAGCACCTATGAGGTGGTTGCTGCAGAAGGAGACGCAGAAACCAGCAGCAGCAGCAGCAACAGCAACAGCAGCAGCAGCAGCAGGGACAGCGACCGCTCAACAGTGGCTGCGGTGACAGCAGTGGCAGCAACAGAAGCAGCAGCAACAGCAGCAGCGGCGGCAGCAGGCGTAGCAGCCGAGGCAGCAAGCGTAGCAGCCGAAGCAGCAACCGTAGCAGCAGCAGCAGCAACAGCAACAGCAGCAGCAGCAGCAGATGAGGCGGCCACGGAGGCTTCTAGTGAAGACAGTGGAGGGCATTCTAAGAAGAGAGCAGCAGAAGCTGAGGGAGACAAGGAGGAGAGAAGCAGCAGCAATAAAAAGCATAAAATAAACCAGAAGCAGCAGCAGCAGCAGCAGCAGCACAAGCAGCAGGGGGAGCAAAGCCACCCCACAGAGAAGCCCAAGCCTAAGCAGCAGCAGCAGCAGCAAAATGCGGACTCCGCGCATCAAAAGCATCCTCAGCGGCAGGCCCAGCAGCAGCGGCAGCAGCAGCAAGATGGGGTGCAGCAAATGCTGTCAGTTCTTCTTCAAGGGGGCGAAAAGGTTTTGTGTGGGGAAAGGATTCTGGTGGGCCTTCGGCACAAAAACACCCTCATGGACGCGAAGCTTTTTGCGTTCTGCAAGCAGCACAGCAGCAGCAGCAGCAGCAGCAGCAGCAGCAGCAGCAGCATGAGCGAGGGGGAGTGCGTGGCTGCGCTGCGGTGCTACATGCAGCAAAACTGCGAAAAAGCAAAAAAGAGTTTTATTTGTGATGAAACTTTAAAGACAATTACGGGGCTGCAGCGGCTGCCGCAGCAGAAGTTGGCGCTGCTGCGCGCGCTGAAAGCAGCAAAGTTGCTCGAGCACTTCATGGTCGATCCGCGGGATTTGAAGCGATTTTAGAGTTTCTGAGTTCAAGTTAAATCTATTTTCACTTTCTAAATTCAACTGCAATCCATTTTCACCTTTTTTCCCGAAAAAAACCGCCTTTTTGCGGTGTACAGACCCCAGAAACCCACTTGCAACTTGTGCGGCCCGGGCAGAGGTGTACGTACACCCCAAACCCCAGCTTTAAACCACCCAAACCCGCGAGGGTTTAGGGTTTAGGGCTGGCGCTTTAGGGTTTGGGGTTTGGGGTTTGCGTTTGGGCGTGGGAAAACTGCTTTTTCGTTTTCTTGAATTCTTGGCAACTGAGGTGTACATACACCTCACTTCAAGTCCGCTTTCGTTTCGTCTTTTCTCTTTTCATTTTTCGTCTTTTTGAATTTGAAGTATTTCAAAAAGAAAAACTCCTTTTCAATGAATTGCGCAGTAAAAACAAATCGGGAGGGCCCCTTTCATTTTGCTGTTGCTGCTGCTGCTGCTGCAGTTGGCGCGTTTGCTGCTGATTTGTGCTTCTCATTTATATCCTCTTCCTTCCTTCAATTTGTTTTATTTGTTAATTCCCTTTTATTTGTCCATTTTATATTTTCGTTTTATTTTTTTAAATCTTTTTTTCTTTTTTGAATTTCTGCTTTAATTAGCCCACAGACCTCTCTAGCTGTTTTGCTGTTCAGTTTTTTCTCCCAAAAGCTCAGCGCTAGGGTTTAGGGTTTAGGGTTTGGGGCGTAGAGATTAGGGTTTAGGGTTTAGGGTTTGGGTCCTAGGGTTTAGGGTCTAGGGTTCCCGCGAGTGCTGAGTAAAGCCATTGTCTACTACTGCTGAAGCAAGTCCCAGACACGTTCAAACACACGATCCCAGACGATCCCAGGCGATCCCACACGATCCCAAATAGCCCCACACGATCCCACACGATCCCAGACGATCCCAAGTAGCAGCTTGTGCCTTCTTTGCTGCGCCAGTTGGGCTAAAGTGAAATTGAGCGCAGCAGCAGCTGCTGCTGCAGCTGCTGCTGATGCTCCTGATGCTGCTGCTGCTGCTGCGTGCTTCCAGCGCAAACACTCTTGCATCCCCCTCACCTTTTTCAAAAGGATTAATTATTTCTATTTACTTGTTTATTTAATTGTTATTTTAATTGTTATTTTAATTGTTTATTTAATCATTTATTTAATTATTCATTTAATTGTTTATTTAGCTGCTTATTTATTTCCTTATTATAATTTATTTATAATATGTTTTTAATTGAAGTACATTTAAGTTTCCTGCGGTGGGTGACCAAGTTTGCCTCAGGCGGCATTTGGGGGGAAAAGTTGCATTTTGGGCTTAAATGGAGCAAATCAAATGAATTTTTGATCAATTAAATGAATTAAATTCAATCTTTAATGAATTAAATTTATTTTTAATGAATTAAATTCATTTCAATTCAAATTTTAAGCCAAAAGTCCGTTAAAACCACCCAAAAACAGCAGCGGTCGGCTGCGGGGCCCCCCAGGTTGCGCGCCTTCCGGTTTCTGTCCGTCCGTTCAACTTGGAGCAAATCGAGCGGAAAATGAGTTATTTGAGCGAATTAAAATTAAAAATACAAAATAATTAATTAATTGATTAATTAAAATGACTTAAATTTTCTTTTTTAGCCTTTTTTTGCCCCCATTTGGCCCATGGAGCCAACGGCGGTGCCCCTGGCCGTGGGAGTCGCGCAGTGTACATACACCTCAGAAGCCCTACAACAGACATAAAAGAAACAAATCCAAAATGGAAACTTCAAAACATTAAAAGTCTGCGCAGCAGCACAGCAGCAGCAGCAAAAGCAGCAGGCGCTGCAGTTCATGTAGCAGGAGTGACACCAACACCAGCAGCAACGGCAGCAGCAGAAGCAGCAGCAGGAGCAACAGCAGCTGTTGGAGCAGCAGCTGCTGCTTTTGCATCTGCCTGAGGGTCGTGTAGGCCACGCGGAGCAGCCCCAGCAGCTGCAGCAACGCCAGCAGCAGCAGCAGCAACTGCAGCTGCTACCGCAGCTGCGACAGCAGCAGCTGTCGCAGCAGCAGCAGAGGCAGCAGCAACAGCACATTCAGACCTAGGGCACGCAACGGAGCGAAGCTAGCAGCAGAAGTAGCAGCAGCAACAACAACAACATCTGCAGTAATCGCAACATCAGCAGCAGCAGCAGCGGCAGCAGCAGCAGCGGCAGCAGCAGCCGCAGCATCTTCAGGAACAGCAACAGCGACTGCTGCAGCGACTTCAACGCCACCAGCAACATAATCAACAGCAGCAGCAGCATCAGCATCAGCAGCAGCAGCAGCAGCAGTTGCTGCTGCTGCTAGATTGCGAAACAATGGCAGTTTGCAGGTTTCGTTTGTCTTCGGCGTTTGGGTCCTTCAGGCATCTGCCGCTGCGCGTTTTTCTGCTGCTGTTTTGCTGCTGCTCATTTTTCATTTATTTCTTTTTTCTTTTGGAGTCCCCTTTGGGCCCCCTGAGCGAGCTGCGGCTGCGCGCAGCAGACACAGCAGCAGCACCAGCAGCAGCAGCAGCAGCAAGCAGCAGCGAGGGAGGTCAGCTGCAGCAAAGTCTTAAAATTGAACAAACAAATCAGCAGCAATTCGAAAATCCCAACACAGAAGGACACAGCCGTTTGCTGCTGCCTGCTGCTACGCAGCTGCCGCCTCTTCAGGCCCTGCAGCGAATCACAAATGGCCAGCAGCAGCAGCAGCAGCAGCAGTTGCTGCTGCTGCAGGGGGAGCAGGAGCTTCTTGCCGAGTACGGGGACCCGGCAGCAGCAGCAGCAGCAGCAGCGGCAGCAGCAGCAGCAGCAGCAGCAGAGACAGCAGCAGAAGTTTTGTTTCCATTTCCTTCTCGCGGCTTCGCCTCGCCGCAATTTGCCTTCAACCCGATGCAGCCACTTAGCGCGCCGCTATCTTTGCTGCAGCTGCGGCAGCAGCAGCAGCAGCAGCTGCTGCTGCGGCAGCAGCAGCAGCCCGAGCAGCTCAGCGCGGCGCCCCCAGTCGAACTCTACGCTGTCCACCCCTCGTGCGTCTCCCTGATCAAGTACCCTTCCTTCAGCAGCCAGCAGCAGCAGCAGCAGCAGCAGCAGCAGCAGGAGCGCAGCAGGCCGCACTGGGGGCTGCCGTTTGTGCAGGGCCTGGAAGCAGCAGCAGCAGATTTGCTGCTGCAGACCTCCGGGTTGTACGGGCGTTCGTACATAAGGGAAATGGCGCTGCAGCAAAGAGAGAAGCAAAAAGAAAGTTTTGGATTTAATTTGGAATTAAAAAGAGTCTTTTATCTCTTTCAAGACCACTTCGCAGAAGGTGCTGCTGCTTTCTTTTCCCTCGTGCTGCAGCGGCTGCTGCTGCTGCTGCTGACCTGGGAGAGCGAAAGGCTGTACGTGCTGGACTACGAGACTTTCGGGTGTATAGGCAGCTTGGCAGCAGCAGGAATGGAGGGCTGGGGCTTTGCTTCCAGCTTCGACTTCGCCCTCTACAGAAGCTTCAAGCAGCAGCAAGCAGCAGCAGCAGCAGCAGCAGCAGC